AAAACCTTTTAAAAATATAGATCTGATATTTAAAAACCTTTTAAAAATATAGATCTGATATTTAAAAACCTTTTAAAAATATAGATCTGATATTTAAAAACCTTTTAAAAATATAGATCTGATATTTAAAAACCTTTTAAAAATATAGATCTGATATTTAAAAACCTTTTAAAAATATAGATCTGATATTTAAAAACCTTTTAAAAATATAGATCTGATATTTAAAAACCTTTTAAAAATATAGATCTGATACTTAAAAAAAGTACTCTAACTTAAAGTTAAAATTGAAAAATTTACACTAAAATTGTTTTTAAACCAGTTTTTTATTTTATATCGTCATTTAAAGTTTTTTTTCAGTTTATTAAATTCAGTTAAACAAAACTGTTTTTAAAGACAAAACAATTTAAGTGGTTTTAGATAAATGTAGATGTCAATCAACAACATACATAAGATTTAGGCAAATAAAAGCAATAAAACAACTGAGATATTGGCGTGAAAAAATATACATATATTGAGCGACACGCATGAATAGTTTTTGGTTTTATCTGTATTTTACTGTTGTAAAAGTTTATCGATTAAAATTGGAATTAACAATTATTAATAAAAAACAAATAATTTTAAAAACCATATAAAAATTTCATGTCAGAATAGAAACTTTTTTTTTCTTAATTCTTTATCTTATATGTGGTGTGGGCTGTTGCACTATCTTGTTGAAACCCTGTCGTTGTTGTTGATGGCTTGCTAGAGGGGAAACAAGAAGACCTGAAGTAATGTTCTGTAGCAATCTCCATTGATTAGAAAAATTTAACAGGCATCATTTTCAAAAATATAGTCAATAAATCTTCTGTGATGTTATGCAACACCAAAAACTTACAAAAAGTAGGTGTATTGAACTTTGGTGAATATTTGTGGTAAATAATCCAAAAATTGTTGGTTATTATCTAAAAGATTTTTGAAAACTCTATGGTATTCCAAACGCAATACCATATCACCACAATAAAGCTGTTAATTCAAATGAATTTTGTTGGGGTATAGGTTCAGACTTTCTTTCAAAATCCAAACGTTAAGGTATTCAACACAAATGGTTGTAACTTTGCGTTACAACCATTTGTGTTGAATACCTTCGTGTTGATGTTTTAGAGTTATTTGCAACAATTTGCCAAACCAGTACGATGTTTTTGTACAATCATCCATTATGAGGTCTTCTCGAACGTCTGACATTTCCAACGTGCTCATATCGCCCAAATTTAGCCAACATAGCACGAAGAGTGGGCGTTGTTAGTGGATTGCAAACTCCAAAAAAAAAAAATCAAAAATGCCCGTGGAGTAGCATATCACCTATTTTCCAAAATTAGTGTGACCATTTTTGATTGCTCTGAAATAGTGTAGTATTTTGTCTCCCAAGTACAATGCCTAAAACAAAAAAAATTGCAAAAATGTTCACAAATAAAAAATTTATAAATTTCTTGAATCAGAAATGGACTTTAGGACCTTGTTATTCAAAAATATAGTTATAAGTTAAAATTTAAACATTTAAATTGGGTTTAACAAGTATTTTAATGAAAGAATAAGTTTTAGAGCTTAATTTTAATAGTTTACGTTTAAAGCCTTCATGCAGCTTCACAATGTGGTATCTACTTAGGTCAGTAGGTAGGGTATCTATTTGTATAATCTAGTCAAGTAGCTTTAAAGTTCTGTTCCATGTTTTTTATGTTCTTTTGATTCGATGTTTTGAAACCTTCCCCAAAACACAAAATAGATCTTTTACTAATTTTTAAGCTTTATCTAAAATTAAATTGAAATAAAAATATCTTTGATAGCGTTAATAAGATCTATATTGAATTTATTGTTGTCTTCATAACTGAAAGTTTTTCCGTAGCCGGAGATTTAAAAGTTCGGAAAATATCTCTTTGGGGTTTTTTGGCTTCACAACTAACTAACTTACTTATTTTATAAAAAATGTAAAGTTTCTGAGTTTTCTTACAAATAAATATGCAAATAAAACATAACAAAAAATAATAAACAAACCCGATATTCATAAATGTAACCCAAAAACATTTACAGATATATGCGTAAAAAATTTCAACATTTGTTTAAGGTAGAAAAAAATGCAAAAGGTAGAAACAAATGCAAAAGGTTGAAACAATTGAAAATAGTAGAAACAAATGCAAAAGGTAGAAACAAATGTCAAACGTAAAAACAAATGCAAAAGGTACAAAAGATAGAAATAAGTGCAAATTAAAAACTATTTTAGAAAAAAAAAATAGCTATTGAGATTTTTTAGTTAACTTAACATGATCTTCTACAAACTTAAATTTTGATCATTGGTAACCATGTCATCAGTATATAATTATTTTGGTTAGGGATTACCAAAAGATGTAATAACTGTATTATTATCTGTTTTCTTTTTTTTTATTGCTTCTTTTTTAACATATTTTTATTATACTTTTTTTCTTATTTCGATGTTATTTTGTAATAATTTTAAAAAATAGTTTTTTTCTTTTTCTTAATACTTTAAATATGGCGTTCTCACCTTATATAAAAAAGGTGAGATTTATTTGAAAAAACTTCCTTGCAAAAATTCAGAAACAGTTAGTATCTGGAGGTTCATCCATTTGTCTTTAAAACAGAATTATAGCATCAAGATATCAAATCAACTAAATTAAAAAGAACAGAAATTAGAAATTAAAAAGAACATCCTGAGAAATTTTATACCAACATTTTTTGTCAAAGCAAATAAATGGTCTTTGTTGTTTGATTTTCTATCAAATAATTGACGTTCCATGTACTCCATGTACATGTATATATTTACATATATTTAAAATAGTTTAGTTGTGTTAAGGGGAACATATACATTTCTAAATATTACATAACTTTTCATCAGGGTTTCATTATTATATTATTAAGTAGATAATTTTTTTTATTTATACGGCGGCTTTTTTAACTACCGAAATACCTTCTATGATGATTTTCTTTAGAAAAGCATTTTCATTGTGAAGAACAGTTTGAGTATACAGGCGTTCCACTTTCAGTCCACTACTAGATCTATAGCAATTTTTCACTTCTTTCAAAGTTAAAAAAGACCTTTCTTTAGTGTAATTTTTAAAAGCAGTATATAGAAATATCCTTAAAACAATATTCACATGTAAAAATGTAGCTTGAAGCTTTTTGTTCATTTTGTTGAACTTTTTACAATTGTGCTTCATCATGACGGATCTTTCCAGCTAATCCATTTTTTATAAAGTCTACTAGCTTCTACTATTATGTTCCGCTCATGTGTTTTGCCATTATTCAGCTATTTCAAGGCTACCTTTTTAAGTTTAAGCGCATAGTTCATATATACAAATATACAAACACTATTGACAACTAGTAACTTAAAAAACATATTAGTTGAAAAATGCCTCAGACGAATTTTATTTCTTGGGCATGGATACAAATAAAATTATTGTTTATTTATATATAATTAATTTCTTGCTGGCTGGGCTCTCCAAAAACCCTGGCCCCATAGCTGCATATGCTGGACATGTATAAAGACGGGCCTGCCTGTAAATTATCTAAAACATATCTGCGAATAACATTTATGATGACTGATATCTGAAGTATAATCAAGAGTTACTTCAAAATACTTACAATTTTACAAACACAATTTTACAAATACAATTTTGCAAATACAATTTTATAAATACAATTTTACAAATACAATTTTATATTTTATTCACTCTATAACTTTTATTTTTATATTATAAAATTTTTAAATGTAGAAAATGAAAAAAATAAATAAATAAACAAAGTTTGGTACAAAATACAAAATAATGTAAAAAATGAAAATGAAATTTTTACTTCCTACATTACCTTTTTTTATTTTTTACATTACCTTTTACATTAATGTCATAATTATTTAACTTCTGCAGCGCTTTATCGATGGTTTGTTCATCAGAAAGTCATTTTTTGAAGATCTCTTCATTTTAACATAGCTAAAAAAATTATTTTTTATGTTTTCGTGTATCGGTTGTCTTTTTTGTAAACTATTGAATCCTAAATTATATTAGGCCTTAAAGGAGCTAATGCGCCTATTAAGAAAACCTTTAAACGACCATAGAAACAAAATGTTCTGTCCTTTGTTTTAAAAAATAATATCCAAAAAACGAAATTTTTTTTTTAATTTGAAAGCTTTCTTTTTAAATGTACATTGAAAAATGTCTTTCATTGCCTTGGCTTGAAAAATTCTGGTAATTCTTTCCTTTTAAGCACTTGTGAGCTTTTCATTTTGAACTTTTCTTTTTGTAGTTAATTTTCGTTTCGCCATTTTCTAAATCACTTTCTACATCTCTTTCTAGTTTTTTTAGTTTACGCAGCTATAGAAAAATTAAATATAAATACAATTTAAAAGTAGTAATATTTGTATACATTATTATTTTTATCTTTATTTTTAGACACAATCTCTATTTATTTATTTATTTAACTTTATACAAAAACATGCAGGCTCCGTTAAACGCAGGGGCAAGTGCAGCCACGTCTATGCACCACCTTATATTCATCTCTGCAAGCAAATAACCATAAAGATTCTAAAGAACAACTTACTAGTCAATTGCTTATAGAAGTTTATAAAAAACAAAGCTAATCGAAACAAAACAAAACAAAAAGTTTAATCCAAAAACTAGTATTATTATTACTTTTTTAACTTTCAAAATATTTATATAAGATTCCCCAAGAGTTTAACGGTTTACAAGGTAAAATGGTCTTTACATATAAATACATTTACTGTTGCCAGAAAACTAAAAAGCGTTGACCCGGATCATAATGAAAGACAGTCTCGGTTTTCATTCAAGAATCGAAACATTTTAAATAAAGTTTTTAATAACATATTGTCGTTTTAAATACTTTGTTATAAATAAACAATGGCAAAAAAAAAAAATACAAACAAATTATATTTATTCATAAAAACCTATGGTTTCTAATTTTATTTGCCATTAACTTTTTCACATGATGTTATAGATTAATTTTATTTGAGAAAGAACTCTTTCGATTCAAACTCTGTTTTATATCGCGTATGAATGTAATTGTTCTCATTAAAGATATCTCCGTTATAGGTTTGTATATAAATTTCTTAAAGATCATTTTATAATTAAAAATAATCTTTTACAATTAAAAATAATCTTTAAAGGATAAATGAAGATAAGTAAATAATGTAACTTTTTTCAACCTTAACTCTTACCTTTATCTCCCTTAGAAAAAGAAGGTCTTTCCTAAAGAGGTGTGTCGGTTAAATCACTCCCTAATAAACTTATCAAATTCGTCAACATTTAAGTCAGTGTTTTCATTGAAATTGGAATGGGTATGAATACATTATATTTTATTATGAATGCGTATGAATGTATTATATAAATTAATAAATATAAATATTAAGTTCAGTGAATAAACTAAATATTCTTGTAACGCGGACTTTTCTCTCCTAATTGATTAAAGTTATTTAAACTAAACTTATTTACTAAAAAAAACGAAGCATGGAAAGCTGAAATAAAATTATTAGAAAACTTAATGGTCTCTTGTAGTTTCAATTTTTCTTCTTTCAATAAAATGTAACCTGTGACTATTTTTAAGTTCTAAAACGTGTTTTTGTGGGTATGCAATTCTACTCTCAAACCTAAGTATTTAGCATTACATATCTCTGCTTTCAAACCCAAGTATCAAGCTTATATCTTAAATATTTATGAAATAAATAGAAATTTTTTTTGTGTATGCTAGTTAAGTTTTTTTTAATATGAAAGTTGCATAAATATTAAAGCTAGTCTTACGAGCCACATAAGCAACCAATTTTTTTTTTGTTGTATGTTTTTTCAATAAACACAGTTAATACAATTTTATTTCAAAAATTTAGAGGGAAATTTTTTGACTAAATTTAGACTAAATTATCAAATTTAGTCTAAATTTCTCCCTTTCCAGATCTCTTTTTAACTAGAAATAGAAATGTCTTTATGTAATGGTATCAAACATTTTTTAATTAGAAAAGTGCTAAATAAACAGTACCAATACTTTTAAAAACAAGAGTTCATTAAAATGATAGATCATACTCATCAGCAGTTTTTACTCAACAGTTGTTCAAAGAGTTGACTAATGTTTGGCATCTTCTTGTAGATAAACTAAATAAAAATGCTAAATAATTTTTTATTAGTTTAATGATTTTTTATTAGGTCATTTCTTTAAGCTTTAGTTTATAATTAATAAAATATATTAAATATGTTATGGAAATGGTTTTATCAAAACATAAGTCAGAAAAGGTCCTAAGTTTGTTTTAAGGAGGTTTTAGTTTTGGTTTAATGTAGTCAAAGTCAGAACCATAGTTGGAATTAAAGATAGAGCTTAAGTAGATTGCACAAGTTTATGAAATAATTAAAAATGATTCTCAATAATCATAAATTCACATTTAAAATTTTAAAATTACAAGTTGTAAACATTTTTATATATATAACAAGTGTTAATGTTTAACATTTTAATACTAAAATGAAAATCTCTCTAATCAATAATATCCTTAATGTTAGGAGCCTGTCTTATATTTAAGGGTTGGGAGCTACCCCTAAAAATAATTTTTAAAATGAAAATGTTTGAAACTTGGTATTATTATATTGAATAGTTTTATTTTAACACAAATCATAGAGCTTTTTTCCTGTTTTTTACATTTATTTTAATATAAGTTATTATTTGGAGGAAATAAAAAGGATTTAATTTTCTAAAGTGAATATTTTATTTTCAGATCATTTTTGTTATTTAACTGTGTCTGTTCAGTTCTTTTCTTGTTTTTATTTTCTAAAAAATCTGCGTTCAAATACTATTTACGAATATCACTTAGGAAAAAATAGTTCCACCAGTCAAGTTTTGTCATTATGAACACAAACACACACACACAAACACACTAAAACCATGAAATTTACCAGTAAACAACAAAGCAAAAGGCTAAGTTCAAGAAAATTATTAAAATATTTAGTAGATTTTGTTAGAAATGTGTATTAAAAAAGTTAGTTAAATGCCAAAAATTTTGTATAAAATTTGATAATTAAATTACAAAATTAATTATTAAGTAATGTTTATTAAATTAAAAATTTACTCAAAGAACTTAATTATAAAATTGACATATAATTAAATGCTTATTTCTTAAGTAAAGAAACATTTCTTTATTCTTTACTTAATTTTAAAGAATTGCAATTTTTTTTAAATAAAACTTAAAAAAAAATTTTAAAAGCTTATAATAAAAATAAAACTTATAGTTTAAAGAAATTTTTTTTTTTTTTAAAGTTAAAAAATATAATAAAAATGAAATTTATAGTTTAAAGATGTTTTTGTACTTATATAATATAATGTACTATAAACTTATAATAATATGATGGTTTTTTTCTTTTAGCTACCGTAACTGTAACAACCAAAAAAGTTTATTCTGCTAGTGCACCAGCAGGTTATCACTTAGGTGGTGCTCATCAAGAAGTTGGACAAGCTAAAACTCCCTCTCATGCCATCCCATTTAATGGCGTATCATTTAGTGATTTACAGAAACAATTACTAAAAAATAAAGTCCTTTTTGAAGACCCTGACTTTCCTGCAACAGATGATAGCTTATTTTTTTCAAAGAAACCACCACGACCTTTTGTGTGGAAACGACCTCATGTAACTTTTTTTTTTCGATTTGTTATTTGTTTCTTCATCCATTTTATTATAAGTTAAGTAATATTCTATTTATTGTTGGTTTAATTTATATAATTATACACTCCATTATCTACATTATAATCTACATTACTAATTTACATTAGAAAGGATTTAAATCAAATCAATGTATGCAACGCTGAAGTAGAGTAGAAAAAAAAAGAACACCAAATAAGGACCCCTTGCTTTCCCAGAACACATTTTAATCTCAGGGGAGGAAGGGGGTGATTAAGAAATACTCTGACAAATAATAGTGTGTAATAATAGTAATAATAATAATAATAAATTATTAAATAATTTTTTATTTTAACAGGAGATTGTCAGCGATCCAAAAATGTTTGTTGGAGGAGCTAGTCGATTTGATATCACACAAGGTATGCTTGGTGATTGTTGGCTGCTTGCTGCAGTTGCTGCATTATGCCAATATGAAGGTCTCCTTTATCAAGTAGTTCCCCCTGACCAGGATTTTAAAACAAACTACTGTGGTCTTATTAGATTTCGTTTCTGGCAGTATGGTGATTGGAATGAAATAGTTATTGATGATCGTTTACCAACCTACAACAATAAACTCGTTTTTTTACATTCTGCCCAAAATAATGAATTTTGGTCTGCCCTTTTGGAAAAAGCTTATGCTAAGTAAAAATAATAATATAAATGGTTATTTTTGATAAATAAGTTGAACAAGAGTATTATATAATTTTTATTTTTATCTTTATAAAAATAATATCTTTTATTGTAACAAGTTTAATTTGATATTAGGTTATGTGGAAGTTATGAGTCATTAAAGGGTGGTCAGACAAGTGAAGCCATGGAAGACTTCACAGGTGGTGTGACTGAAAGCTTTAATACGCAGAAAGCACCTAAAAGGTTTTTTAAGTTGCTTCAAAAAGCTCAAGAACGCCAATCACTTATGTGTTGTTCCATTGAGGCTGCACCAAATGAAGTTGAAGCAAAACTTGATAATGGACTTATTAAAGGGCATGCTTACACTATCACTGATATAAAAAAGGTATTATGTTAAATACTATTAAAAAAATTTTATATAATATATTTTTTACAATACTATTAAAGAATAATTATATAAAAAAATTTTTTTTTTTAGGTTTAGGGTGGGGGCTCATGATTTCAATAAGTAATAAATTCATATATAATATGTATACCAACTTTCAAAACATATTAACAGCCATGATCAAGTTTTCAAAATCACAAAGTATTTTCGTGGTCATATTATGACGTGAAATTGCACGCCTTCCTGGCCAAACCTGTATTATATATATATATCTATATATATATATATATATATATATATATATATATATATATATATATATATATATATATATATATATATATATACATATATATATATATATATATATATATATATATATATATATATATATATATATATATATATATATATACATATATATATATATATATATATATATATATATATATATATATATATATATATATATATATATATATATATATATATATATATATATATATATATATATATCAGGCTTGGACAGGAATGGCATGCGATCGAGCGCAATTGCTGACCACGCAAATGATTTTATTTCTTGACAACTTGACCATGATTGTATATGTTTTGATGATTTAAACGTTTCAGAAATGCGCTGAATGTAGAAATGCTAAGCTAAACTTAAACTAGGAAAAAAGTTAAAAAAAAATTAACAAAAAACATTCCTAAAGAAAAAAGAAACGAAAAAAATTCTTCATGAAAAAGAAATTATATAAGCACTATAATAAAAATAAAAAGTAAAAACTTTTTTTTATGTTTTTAATCATGTTTGAAATGAATCTCTTTAAAGTTACACAAAACGCTTTTAAATTAACAAATTACTACTAACGATTGTTTAATAAATGAACAATTTTTATCAAATTTATTAAAAAGTGCTGTATTTAATATTTTTAAATTGTATATACATTTATTTTTTGGAAAAAGTTGCACAAAAAAAATTGTTCAAAAAAACAACGTAGTCTTTTTAAAATGGTAATATTTAATAATTTCATGCTCTAATTAATGTTTAGTTAAAAAATGGTTTCCAACTCTTTTAATCGTAAAAATGGTAAAAAAATAAATAAATAAAATGCGCCTGAAATTTAAATTAAATAAACTGCTAACAAACAATTTAATTTTAATTTGAGCATTGTAACATTATTATTAAGCGCTTCACTTAATGAATTTAAAAATTATTATGATTTCAACTCATTCATTCCTATCGTAATTGGAAGACAAAAAAAAAAAAATTGTTTTTCAAAAAATAAAATGTTTGTT